TGATTTTCTGATACTTTAGAGGTAAAATATGTCACAATGGCTCTCTACCAAGTAGCAAAACTACACTAAATATGATATATATATAATCTTCAGCATGATTTCAATGTTACACTGACAAAGTGGAATCTTGTGTATCTTGGACTACAGAACTGTCAAGGGCCAGGTGTGGTGGGGCATGCCTGTAATCCTAGCATTCAGGAGGCTTAGGCAGGAGGACTACCACAGTTCAAGGCCAGCCTAGGCTACATAAGAGTTTGAGGCCAATGAAAATAAAGTATTTGTAAATGGAGAGAGGAAGGGGGTGAAGGGAGGGCAGGGACAAAGGGAAAAAATGAGAACCAAGACCACCTGTTATGTAAAGGTACAAGATCCCAATAATGAATGTAACTGTACTGTATACCTAAAATGTACCAATAAACTCAATAAAAGAAAAAAATACATATAAAAAAAAGTTTGAGGCCAGGCTTACCTGTTTAAGAGACAACCTGTCTCAAAACAAAAAAAAACTATACAAGGAAAATTATCCAGTAAAATGACTGAAATCAATTTAGTATTTTAAAGATTATCCTGTGCTAAAATGTGTTAATAGCTGGGATATATGAATAAAAAAGATAATTGAGACAGTTCCTGAAATAGCTTTTTATTTTTTGTGGTACTGGGATCTTGCACTTGTGAGGCAGGTGGCAGCACCACTGAGCTAAATCCCTGAACCCCTGAAATTGCTTTTTCTTAACACTGTTGGCCAGAAGGGAAATTACCACAATGTCCCGGAGGTAAACTGGCACTAATTTTTTGTTGTTGTAGTGCTTGTTTAAATAACCAGGACTGGGTTCCAGCCTGCCATGTATAGAGCACTGGATCCTTACCCAGCACTTCAAATAAGCAGGATAATTTTGTAATGGAGAATTAGAGGGAATGTAAGTATAAAGTAGCATCAAATTGGGTGTGGTGGTACACAGCTGTAATCTCAGCACTTGGGATACTGAGGCAGGAAGATTGCAGCAAGTTTGAGGTCAGTGTGTGCTACAGGGTGTACTAAAGGCCAGTTTAAACTATATAGTAAGATGCTGACTCAAAAAGAAAAAAAACCCCAAAATTAAAAAAAAAAATCTTCCTTTTTTATAATAATTACAATGGAACAAATGAATTCATCCTTTCAAAAGAAAAAAAAAAAAAGAAATTCAATATTGAAGACTGAACCTGAGCTGAGGCCTTTGTACTTTCTGGGACAGGCTCTCACTCATCTGTTACACTGCCCAGGACCAGTGACTGCAGATATGGGACAATACACGTGGCTGAAAATTCCTATACACACAGCAAACATAATTTCAAACTTGTGTAATCTAAGCAGGAAGAGCACAGGTTCAACTTTCTCTAGTTCCCAAAGGATTCAGCAGTTCCTTACAATGAAACAGCAGAGCAGACTGATGATGGTACTGCTACTTAACCAAAATTCACGAGGCTGATTTCCTGGCCATCAAATTAAGTTCGTTTGGAGAATTGCAGGGCCAAATAAGATAAGGGAAGGAATTCCTTTTGGAATAGTGGGGAAGATTTTGTCCCCTCACCACGAACTTGGAATGTCAGAAATGCAAATTTCTGACCCTACCTAGACCTTCGGTTTCGGAAACTCACCTTTGTCCAAGAGGTCCTCCAAGGATGGAACTATAACTCAGTGGAGGAACACATGGCTTGGCATGCATGAGGCCCTAGGTTCAATCCTCAACACTGAAAGAAAAAGAACATTCTCCATGTGTTTATAGACCAGACTGAAGTTTTGAGAACCACCATTCTACAAACTATATCTACCTAGACCTTCGGTTTCGGAAACTCACCTTTGTCCAAGAGGTCCTCCAAGGATGGAACTATAACTCAGTGGAGGAACACATGGCTTGGCATGCATGAGGCCCTAGGTTCAATCCTCAACACTGAAAGAAAAAGAACATTCTCCATGTGTTTATAGACCAGACTGAAGTTTTGAGAACCACCATTCTACAAACTATATATAAAATACTTCAGAATTTCCATTTGACACTTGCTTAAAAAATGGTTTTGAGGACTAGGGATTTAGCTCAGTAGTGCTGCACCTGCCACACAAATGCAAGGTCTTGAGTTCGATCTCTGGAACTGCAAAAAAAAAAGGTTTTGAACAAAGAACTACTAAAAACAAGCTTTATCTACAAAGCTGTAATTAAAAAGTGGTCAACAAGTGATAGAACTCAGTTAATGGTCAGGACAAGGCAGCTATAAATCAAGTTTAGGGTCCAGATATCTTGGGTTAAACTCTGGCTCTACTACTTAAAATCTTTGACTAAGTTCATGGTGTTCTTATAGCACTTTGTAATAAGAAATCAGTGGTACTTTTTTTTTTGGTACCAGGGATCAAATTCAGGACCTTGAGCTTTCAAGGCAGGCAGCAGCGCCATTGAGCTAAATCCCCAGCCCGAGTTAACACTCTTTAATTAGAGTAGCCCCAAACCTGAGTAACTTCACAGGATGCACATTCATCACTGAATACTCAGCCCCTATTTTAGGCCAGAAACCATTAGTGACAGGTAAGGTGAACACAAGTTACAGCTGGGGATGAAGATGCCAAGGTACACATAAATGTCTCACTCTGCAGTTAGCTTGGCCTCGAACTCAGCGATCTGCCTGCTTCGGCCTCCCATGTGATGGGATCACAGGTATGCATCTCCACACGCAACTTCAAAGCAATCCGTTTTCAAATAAGGAAAGTTAATTGAATTAAAATAATTTACTTTCACAACAATGAAAACTTGCCAAAAACGCAGAATCATGGGCCCCAATCTGCAGCTGACTCAGTACTGCATTTTACAAGTATAAACACTCCTAGATGAAGCTGAGCATGATGGTGCATACTTGTAATCCCAGCACTTGGGAGGCTGAGGTAGGAGCATTGCCACAAGTTCGAGATCAACCTGAACTAAAGAGCAAGACCCTATTTTTAGAAAAAATTTAATTTATTGGTACATTCTAGGTAGACAGTACAGTTACATTCATTACTGGGATCTTGTACCTTTAGTAAGACCCTATTTTTTTAAAAAAAATCCCTAGACAATTCTCATGCACACTTGGTCCTGCTGTATGTTATTCTAAGTGTTACACTCAAGATGAAGGAGGCTGAGCCTTTAAAGATGGCCTATGACAAGCAACAAAGGCACTGAAGAAAACTTCATGAACAATGTAACAATCTTTTCTAAGTAAGAGCACTGGGGTGGAGAACTGTACCTGGGACTCAGACTGGAGGGGGAAGTTCACTCAAGTCCTTTGAAGCCTGAGGAGCAAGAAAGCAATGGGTAGATACAGAACCTAATCCACAAAACAAATTTACATTATGTTTGAAGGGAGGGAACAAGAGGGTAAACAAAGGCTCAGTACTTTTCTGTGTATGTGCTGCTAGAACCTAAATCCAAGACCTTCTGCATGCTACCCAAGCACTTGACCCCCAATCCCTAAAATAAGCAAGTTTTATGCTGTGATTATTTCATGTGGCCTAGTCATAGAAACATTCAATGCCTCCCACAGCAAACTAAGTTCCTAAACTCCTTCAGTAAGACAGGTCCTTCCCTATTAGCACCAAGCAGAACCACAATCTACTTTTGGGTTAGGTTCTAAGACAACTTTAGCCCTTAAGAAAGTGGAGAAATGCAAGGCTTAACTAGGCTTCCCACAGGCCTGTGCACTACTCAAAACTATTTTAATTTCTGATGATAATGGGGATCAAACCCAGGATCACACACAGGCTAGCCAAGTATTCTTCCAACAAGCTACATCCTTAGCCTAGAAATTTAGTATTCCCAGTCTAATCCTATTTCAGATGTGACTATATGTAATCTTTTGCAGGTCTGAGTGAAGTTGTTAAAAATTCAAGAAGTTGTTAAAAATTAATCTGTTTTGATCCAAACAAACATCAGCCTGGGGCACTACTGAGTGCTGCCGGATGGCAGTGGTCTAGGACTAACAATGCTGTTAAAGCTAACCATCCCTTTTGACTTGCAGACTATGAGACAGGGTGCAGCTGTCAGCTTGCCTGTCTATGATCATGTAAGATAGTCTTTCTAGTTTTTCTCTGGCCAGATGCTTTTATTGCATTGGCACTTATAATTAGACATTATATCTTTTTCAGAAAGATTTCTCTTTGGTATTGTCTTAGTTTATGCTTTACTCCAATTGACATTTTATTTTTCTCATCTTGTTCTTTGTTACTGCAGGCGATATTCTTTACTTTAAAATCATTCTGCATTAGATTTAGGAAAAACAATCACTTTAGATTACTTTTTTCTTAAACATTACTTTAAAAGTAAATCAATGCTGGGGATTTAGTTCAGTGGCACCTTGACTGCCTCAAAGAGGCAAGGTCATGAGTTCAAACCCCAGGACCAATTAAAAAAAAAAAAAAAAAAAAAAAAAAAAAAAAAAGTAAATCAAGCCAGATGTGGTGGCACATGCCTGGAAATCCCATCACTCAGGAGGCTGAGGCAGGAGAATTATTTTCAGTTCAAGGCCAGCAAGACCAGATTGGACTATAGAGACCCTTTCTCAAAATAAAGAATGAATGAAAATCAGGAACCATTTTGCTGCATCTTAAAACAACAAACAACTTACAGGCACATTTTATCCCTTTTTGAACTAATACCAAAATGTTTTGCACACCTGGTATTAAAATATAAACAAGAAACAAACCCTTTTAAAAGTAAATACAGAGGAAATATGTACCAAGATATATCATGTAAAGGTTCATTATCAATGATAAATGTCATATTGTATACCTAAAATGTACCAATAAACTTATCTAGTCACTGTCTTCCAAAAGGTTAAATTTCTCATTGACCATTTAGAGCTCACTTTTCTACTATAATGACCAAAATAACCACCAGTGAATGAAATATATAGAAAGACCAAAGATTCTTTACCTAAAATGTAAATTACCACAGAACTACTCCAATACAAAGAAAATAGTTTTATTTGTATATCAAAGACTAAGAAATGAAGACATAACAATGAAGACATAACAAGGTTACCAGAGCTGATGTCATGGAAAGCTACAGATGACTGATCGCTGCCCCATCTGCCCACACCAGAAGCTCTGGTGTTCACCCCACTTGACTAAGCCCATGTCCAGCCGACAGACTGCGGTTCCCTCCCTTTAGTCCTCTGTGTCTTTCTTTTTCTTCTTCTTCTTCTTCTTCTCTGGGCTCTGGAAATAACCAACGAGAATACTTTTGAATGAGCAGTAACTGTACATGTAATGACATTTTCATATAAAATCTACTTTTCTTGAAAGCAATTTTAGGAGAAAAATTAAAATCCAAAAATACAAGTACTTCTATAAAAGTGTGCTTTTGGCAGGTGTGACTAGAGGTGGGGTGCTTACCTAATGTGAGGCACTAGTTTTGAGGCCCAGCACCATGCAAAGAAAAACCCATAACATTTTCCCCTCCCTTAAAAGCAAACCCTTTTTTTAAGAGGCAGCAGCAGTGGGGTCGGGGGAGATGGGTTGATTAAATTTGGGAAATGACCTTTTATAATAGAAATATACAAGGCCACATTATTTTTAATTCCTCATAAATGAAATTTGTTCATCAGAACACATGCTTATTTCTGACTGAGAGTAGATTCTGGAGCCCCTGCCCTTGCCAAGAATACTGGCAGTTGAAAACAGACATACAGGAACTGCAGTGCTGGTGCATGGCTCTTCCTCAGAAACTGGCTCTTCCTTAATGTGTTTCTTTTTATCCTTTTTCTTTTTCTTCTTCACAGATGTCTCCTCTTCTACCACTATCACTTTTTCTTCTTCTTCCTCCTCTTCTTCCTTAACTGGACAAAGACACACCATGCTGTTAGAGTTTGTTCCCCCCAAAATCATGATCTTCTACTATTCAGTGTTCACTGTGTTTACTTCATAAACTGGGCCCCCCTTTTGGAGACAGGGTCTCACTATGTAGTTGAGACTGACCTGGAACTCACTATGCAGCCCAGGCTGGTCTCGAACTCACAGTGATCCTCCTGCCTCAGCCTCCCGAGTGCTAGATTACAGGCATGCGCCACCACGCCCGGCCATTGTGTTCATTTCATAATTAAGGACTTTCAAGGCGTACGCTGTCCAGTACTTTAACTCCACAAATTACATAGACAAGTTCACAAAGAGGAACTATAATTTCCTCATGCAGTTACAGTGGGCCCCTAAGTAATGACCAGCCTGACATACAGACAACTTGGGTTACAACCAGAATTTTAATTTTAACTTAAGACCAAAGTCTTAAGTTAGAGTTTTGACTTGAATGCTGGCTGCTTGTGCATCCTGATGATCTCAGACACAGATTTAACCCTTAAAGAGTTCTGGAAGAAACATTACAACATCTTTTCCTGTGTGTGGTGGTTGAGAAATCCTGGGCCAATGTCTCTCTTAGGACACTAAGATCTGCCTGTATACAGAAGACACACTTTGAAGGTTGTGTAGAGAAGCCTGAGCCTTCAATTGACCAATCTGAGTTATAACCAGCCCTCATCAATGATCAGAATTCCTAAGTCAAGGATTTGCTGTATAATATAGTAAACATTAAAAGAAAGGTCACCTTTGAATCAAGCCCTCTGTTAACAGGTAAAAGAATACACTCTAGGCCCTGAGATTTAGCTCAGTGGTGCCGCTGCCTGCCTCATAAGCAAAAGGACCTGAGTTCAATCCCCAGCACACACACACACACACACACACACACACACACACACACACACACTACACTACACTCTGGAATCAGAAGACCTAGATTTATTCTACTGTTGTGACTAATTCATTACTATTATTATTTTTGTTTTTTTGAGACAGGATCTCACTTTGTAGTGCAGGCTGGCCTAGACTCACAGCGATCCTCCTACCTCAGCCTCCTGAGTACTGGGATTACAGGAATGGAGCACCATATTCAGCTTATGACTGAATAATTTAGCCTCTGTAAAACTGTTATTGTCTATAAAATTTAAGGATGTTTGTTTAATTGGGACTGTCACTGGTTTTTAAAACCCCTATCCTTACAAATTTTATTAGTAGAGTGAAGATATACAGATATCTATACATAGATATCTATATAGATCTACACACACACACACACACACACACACACACACACACACACACACACTAGATAGTAATCAGTGCTAAAGATAAAAATAAAGCAGGGCTGGGGATTTAGCTCAGTGGCACCATGCCTGCCTCACAAACCAAGGTCCTGAGTTCAATCCCCGGTACCAGGAAAACAAAAAACAAACAAACAAAAAAACCCCACAAAAACAAAACCAAAACCAAAAAGATAAAATGAGAAACAGAATGTTGGAGAAGGGCATTCACTAGCCTACAGACATTTTAGAAGTCAGGTAAATATCTGTAAGAGGTAAAGAAGTGAATGAAGTATACACCTGAGAGAAACATTCCAAGAAGAGAGAAAAGCAAATGCAAGATTTCAAGGATTTGGGCAGGGGGAAGATATGGAGTGTTAAGAGAAACTCACTGTGTAGTAAGTGAAAAAAAAAAAAAGTAAATAGTGCTCGCTTCAGCAGCACATATACTAAAAAAAAAAAAAGTAAATAGGCCAATATTTGAACAGTCAACACAGAATAGAAAATCAGAGATCAGACAGCCAGTGGGGATGCTACTATGGTTACTACAAATTTCCATAGCAGAACTGAGACTATATAGTGACAGGACAGATTTGGGTTCACAGCCAAAAAAATAGGAATTGCCACTAAGGAGACAGAAAAAACTGTGGGTGACTGGGAATGGCAAGGATCCAGTAACATTAACTTTGGAAATACTGTACAACTAAGGATAAAATCTTTACTTCAACATTTCAGATGGCAATCAAGGGTCTAGGATCTCCTTACTTTTCAGTAAAGAATCAGAAATTAAATAACTCATTCATATTTATCCAGGCCAGTCCACTTTTGATAAGGAGGTATTTAATTAATTGCTGCTTTTAATGCTTTATTCTAGCAGTGGCAAACCTATGTCACTCATGGCACAGTGGGTACACAGAGCCCTTGCTGTCAGCACTAAGCTAAGTTGCCCCAGCAACTGAAAACACTGCACACAGGGGCCACGCACATGCTCAGAAAGGAAGGAGCAACAGAGCCAGGCAATGATGTTACAAGGAGAGACTCAATAGGCGCAACTCCGTGGTTTTGCAGGGTCAGTCAGAATTGCAGTTAAGCCCTTTGTAATAAATAAGTGGTCTTTGGGGTACAGTTGGGGCACCTGGTCTCTAGAGGTTCGCTATCGCTGCTTTGTTCTCTTGCTAGACTAGCAGGTGCTCAGTGAACACAAGTAAAACTAATAAATGGGGTACTACCTTCTCCAATTCATAGCCAGCCTAGTTCCCTAAGGGACAGAGTGAATTCCAGTGATGGCTGCTCAGCACGCTACTCTTCTATTAACAATGAAGAAAACAGTGCTGTGCTAATTCTGTCTTTAGAAACCATTTTATTTTTTTCTTTATCTTGAGGCATGCAGGGTGGGGGGGACATGGGGCGGCGGTGGTGTGCGCCACAACCAGAGATTGAACTCAGGTCCTTGCATTTGCGAGGCAGGTGGTGGCACCATTGAGCTAAATCCCTGGCCCATTTAGCAACCATTTTAGGTAACACATTTTCCCCCCTTTAATTCTCAATGTAATTCACGTGGTATAAACTGAGTTTTAGCTCATGTAGTAAAATAGGTATATCGTTATGAGTATAAATGGTATTTTAAGAATCAAACTAACCTTTAATTTTAATCTTGGATTTTTTTGCTTTCTTTTCAATTACTTCATCCTCTTTATTTGTCTGTTCCAGTTTGCGTTTTTTAGAACAGGTTGGAAGGGTTGAGTCACCAGAGGGATCATAAGTCTTCACTTCACTGAAAAAGCCAAGGAATTTTAGAAAATCTCTACAAATATCTGTAATTGAAGTAATTTTCAAGAGAAAATGTTATTAGATAATATTCACATAAGCATATCATTTCAATGAGTTTGGAGTAGTTTATGGAGACTAGAAAACTAGTTTCCAAAAAGTAAAGATATTAATCACATTTGAGAAAAGTGGTGAGCTAAATGAACTGATTCAGTAATCAACACAGTTGTAATTGTACAGGAAACAATTAGCAAGGGTGGAGATGAATGGAGGAAAGCTCTTTACAAGTATCTACAGTAAAAACTGAATCAATTCAACTCTTTGAACAAAGGTGATTAAACGAAAAAAAAAATTAGAACACAGTATCAAAACTAAGTTCAGTAAAGAAGAACTGCTTGGTGTGGTGGCGGTGCACGCTTGTAATCCCAGCACTCAGGAGGCTGAGGCAGGAGGTTTGTGCTGAGTTTAAGGACAGCCTGTGATGCATAATGAATTCAAGGCTAACACTGAACTACACAGTGAGACCCTATCTCTCTCTCTCTCACACCCTCTCTCTCTCTCTCACACCCTTCCCCCCCCCTCTTCATTACGAGGCCCTGGGAGGCACAAAGACAGGGGACAGACACAGATAAGATTTCCTAGGGCCAGGAATTTAGCTCAGTGGTGCCACCACCTGCCCCACAAACCCATAGTCCTGAATTCAATCCCTGATTATCACCGCCCCAAAAAAAAATTCCCTAAAGCTCCATATTTGTTTATGTTAAATACCGAAATACTGAGTGCCTCAAATTTAAACTTCTTAAGAAGTTGCTTTAAACATCTAAACTGCATACTGGTATAGAAGTAAAAAGAAATTGCTTCAAAACAACCAAAAAAAATTCCCCCCCCATTTTCTTGTACCAGGGTTTGAACTAGAACCTTGCACTTGCCAGGCACATGCAGTGTCACTGAGCTAAATCCCTGGCCCGCAGAAATGTTCTATTTTTAAAGTACACTTGTAGATGAATGGCTGTTAACTTTTATGTTACAAACATTTATAATTTGAAAAACAAAAATCCAAAGATGGCAAATAGACTTGAAAAATTACAGAAGCAGCCAGGTGTGGTGGTCCACACCTATAATCCCAGCACTTGGGAGACTGAAGCAGGATTGTCACAAGTTCCAGGCCAGCCTGGGCTACATAGTTCAAAGCCAACCTCAACTACACAGTGAGAACCTGTCTCAAAAAACACAAAAACAAAAACAAAAAAAACCCAATAAAACAAAAAAACAAAAGTTTCATTTTATGTTAACTCTAAACTTTTGTGATAAATGAGTGTCAGAACTGATAAGGTTAAAAATAGTATATGTAGATGATTAAACTAGATGTGGATATAGAAAACTAAACAAAAAAAATCAGCTGCGACATGGTTAATATCTCTGCATTCTGAAAATTGCTAAAAACCAAATTTTATATATTCTCACCACACAAAAAGTGAAGGGACACATGTTTGCTCGCTTTAGCCTTTCCACATTTGTCAAATCAACATGACATACTATACATAGTTTTTATCAATTAACAGAGATCACAGGGTTATTGGGGTGTACAAGTTAGAATAAAAAATTGGCATAGGACTGGGGATTTAGCTCAGTGGTGCTGCTGCTTGCCAAGGACAGGAAGGAGCTCAATTCCCCAGTACCAAAAAAAAAAAAAAAGCATAAATAAAAATTTCACCCACCCTCCTTACATGTACTTACCTTTTATGTTCATATTTTTCTGTTTTTGCTAATGCCTTTCCTGTTCCACTTATTTTCCTTATCTAAGAAAAATGAAAGCTATTTGTAAAATTCTAAATCAGTCTCTTTAGAATACACTGTCAAGTTAACCAGTGGACCAGCAAACAGCAATCTCATAATTTTGTTCCTTTTAACTGGAACGGCATACCTTAATAGCAAGTACTGTTTAAAATAACAGTTCCCTAGAATTTGCACTAAAATGTGTAACATAATGAGGGAAAAAAATGTTTAACAAAGGATACTATGGGCAGATGAAGCATGCAAGTTCCTAGACTACTCAGTTTGTTAACTTTCGCATAAGGTAGGGCATGATTCTTACCCCTCTATCTTCCAAGCTTCTCAATCTGGCCTCTAATTTGGCTCTGTTCTCAACTCCCATTGCAGAACTGGAATCCTCCCCAAAAGCATCATAACGAATAGCCAAAACAGTTTTGGCTGCCAGCATTCGAGAAATCTAATAGCACAAAATTAGAAGAAATCAAAGTGTATTTCAAATAAAGATGTAAAAATCTCAGTAATTTATGCATATGAAAACTGTAGCAGGCATGGTGGTGCATGCCTGTGGTCCCAAGCACTCAGGAAGCTCAGGCAGGAGGATTACTTTGAATTAGAGTCTAACCTAGGCTACATAGAAAGTTCAAGACCAGCCTGAAATGCATAATGAGACCCTGTCTCAAAAAAAACACAGAAACAAAACCTGTAGCAAATCATATTATCAGATTATAGGATTTTTTAAAAAAATGATAAATTATAAAATCATCACAAGCCATCCAACTTACTGTATTTCCTTATCTTTGCCACTACATAGTAATTGGCTTTATATCGCCAACATTTTGGTGGATGAAAAGATCTTATCACTTTAGATAGTTCATGTCTAAAATTAGCTCAAACTATTTCTTTAGTTTTTACTATTTCTAGACCTTGGGTTGTCTAGAAGAACATCCTTTCTCAAGCTAAGCGACATTTCATTTTATTAAACACTGTATCTCTCCCTTTTCTCACTACTGTACTATGAATTTTATAAAATTTGTTTCTGTGAAATTGTACATACTATAGAAAAGACTGAAAGTAATTTGTCTAAGCCTGCATTTTTATCACCTGTAAAACACAGACACCTCTATCTGGTTACTAAAGGATTCAGTGAAGCTCTTACAAACTGTGCAGCAAAATGTATATGCTATTATTTTTGACAATCCACATATATTAGATTGGTTTCCTGCAAACAGAATACTCTTGGTGTACCACCTACAGCTGGATCCTAGAAAAATACTAACACAATAAATGACAATGGCTGTAAGAGGAACAATAACAATTTCTTCTTATCCTTTCTTTCAGTGTACAAAAATACTATCTAAACAATACCCTATTCTCTTTAATAAGAAAAAAATACAGAAAAGATTTAATGTGTACTAAAAGAAAAAGAGTAGGAAAAAAGCGAAGGGGAGCCAACTTTGGAAAAACTGTGTGACTCACCTTTCCTTTGTGTTTGGGACTTGTCTGGCCTACAAGGGAAGCATGATAAATGAGACCGTATTTAGGGGTATCCCGCCTAGATTTGAGGGCTCTGAAAAGTGCCTTTTCTGCTCCAAGAATCTGAACAGTAGAAGCTGCATGCTTGGCCAAATTCAAAAGAGAACCTACAAAAAAAAGCAAGTAGTGATGCATAATATATGTCCATGCATTCAAAGTTTCACATATTAAACAGGAGATCTATAATGTAATTATTAAAGCCACAGTCATACAAAAATTGTCTAATTCAATAGAGGATTCTGTAGCCTATATTGAATCCTCTGAAAATTGTATTTCACTTGTGATTGATTGATTGCTTTAAATACGTATTAGGATATCTCAGTAAGATACCTATATGATAAATTATTCACTTTATTTACCTTTGCGTCATATGTGGATTAGGAAGAGATATGATAGGCCTAAAAGCACACAGATTGCTTTCTTAGATTTATTGCAAAATATACCGAGAATATTTTTAGGGTTTCTTTGTTTGGGTTGCTTTTAGGGGACAAAAGTCTCAGTAAGTGGTTCAGGCTGGCCTCAAACTGTAGCTATTCTCCTGTGTCAGCCTCCCAAGTGCTGGGATTACAATACCACCACATCCAGAACTGAGGGAGAAAAAAAAAAAATCCAATGCTATGAACTCAACCATTAGAAACAGGTTTAAAATAGTGTTGGGGATTTAGCTCAGTGATACTGCGCCTGCCTCACAAGCGTCAAGGTCCTAAATTCGATCCTCAGTAAAAGAAACAGGTTTAAAGTACAACAAATCACATTCCTGCTAAAATCTATATATCTGTTACTGCTACATGTATGGCTCTACCTATGAAATTGTGGTGCAGGCAATGAAACCAGCTCAGATGACCATGACCTTGTAGCCAAGGGCATTTTAATGGAATATCTGTCTGATTAATGGATCAGCTCAAAGTATTAGTCTAAAGACTCTGATGTAGATGTTACATAAAATCATCCATGATGAATGATACATAATGTCTCCAGTAATATAAAACAATAAATACTTCATATTTTCAGGTACTCAGTTACAATAATTTTTATCATAACATACTATTCTGATGGTATTATCACACGTCTTATATTTTTTATAAAATGGTTAAAATGTTTTTGAGTCAAATATATTAAAATAAATAGCATACTCAATGAAACTGAAATAATAAAGGTATATATCAGGTTGTCTTTTATTTATTTATTTATTTTTGGTTTTTTGAGACAGAGTCTCGCTATGTAGTTGAGAGTGACCTGGAACTATGTAGCCCAGGCTGGTCTCCAACTCACAGTGATCCTCCTGCCTCAGCCTCCCATGTGCTGGGATTACAGAAATGCGTCACCATGCCTGGCCAGATTGTCATTTTTTAAAACTATATTCAAATGTTGGTTTTTTGAGGGTGCTCAGGATCAAACCCATAATAAGCTCCTATGAAAATGCTAATTTTCATTTCATCTTACTATTTTTTGAGGGAGGGGCTGCTAAGGATCAAACTCAGAACCTTGTGTTTGCGAGGCAGGCGCAATGCCACTGAGCTAAATCCCCAGCCCTCATCTGACTATTCTAATTAAGCATAACAAACTTTTAACAATGGAGCGCAAGTGTCTCAGAAGAGGTAGTGACTATTGCCTTCATTGTCCAAAAGGAAATCAGGCACAATAAGTAAAAATCATCATTGAACACTTGGCCTTCAGTCTTTTTAACAAAGTAGTTTAAAGATTAAAAACCAGAAAAGAGTCTCAAATACTCATTTTTACAAATTACATCAAAATTGTCACCTGCATGAGCAATCAGCCGTGCTCCAACTAACTCGCCAACCATGACTGTCACATTGGGTGCAATGGCCATCATTCTGTTTTGGAGATACTCATACAGCTGGGTTCTATATTCAGAGATTTCAATCACCTAACAAGGAATACCATGATTAAGTCAGTAATAACTATGTGTAAAGACAGTGCAAAATTCACATCTAAAACACTGGATTCTAATAGGTGGACACAGTGGCACACACTTGTAGTTCCACTACTCAGGAGAGGTTTAGCCTGGGACTGTAAGTGAGGTCAGACCAGGCAGCACAGCAAGATCCGACATGGTTCTGCTGCCTGCCTCACAAGCGCAAGGTCCGGAGTTTGATCCCCGGTAAAAAAACAAACAAACAAAACAATAAACAAAAAACCATCCCCACACAACAAAAAACCACAACCCTATTTCTCTGTTTCTGATACAGGGATTTCCTATATCATGCTCCTACTGTCTCACCCTCCTGAGTAATGGAAAAATACAGGTGTGCACCCACCAAAAGCATAAGACTGTACTATTTATTCACAAAGTGAACACACTCTCTGTTAGAATCCTGAATTATCAGAGTACTTAAGTAAATTTAATCCTAAGATCACTTTTCTTAATGGGTTTAATTCATCATCCACACAATGCTAGTACAAACTTATTTTAGGTCATCCCCTTACCCCAAGCAGACAAATCAAGATGGCATCAGATGAGGTAGTGACTGAATACCCTCATACTGTTATCAGGTAAACAATAAATGTAAAAATCATCATTGCCATCAGATAATTATTAGCACTGTGAGCCTCAACTAGATTCTGTATGGCTATAACTTACTTGGGTGCAAAGATGTAGAATATTACAAATATCTTCTTCAGAAACCTCTGTTCCCATAGATATCTCTGCAGCTGCTTTTACTTCGGCTTCAACTTCCTCTGGCAACAATTCAGAAAGTGTGGCAGAGGCATAGTTCTTCCTATCACCTATGGAATTTTTGCAAAGGCAGGGGATAACTCTTTAATACATTACATAAAGGGGCCAGGGATTTAGCACCACCCCTGCCTTGCAAGTTCAAGGTCCTGAGTTTGATCCCAGTACCAGAAAAAAAAATAAAAATAAAAATAAAAAAATAAAATCCACCAAAAAGAATGAAAAGTAGAGATAAGCAAATGAAAAGAATGCCTGCATAAAACAAAAAGCAAACAAGTTTGACTTGTTTCCCTTTGTAAAAATTTGATTTTAGAGATAAATCTCTCCCTACTACGACCCCTTATAACTGGATTAAAAAAAAAAAAAAAAAAAAAAAAAAAAAAAAAAAATAGAACCACTACAGTAATACCAGAAGCTGAGAATTATTCATGGCTATAACCATATTACCATCCCTCAAATTACTTGCCTTAGCTTTATTATAAAATTGAAAGTCCTGTTCTTAATTTTTGCTAGAAATAAGTTTTCATGGACTGTTTTGTCTTTTTTTTTTTTTTTTTTTTTTTTTTGGTATCAGGGATTGAACTCAGGTACTTGCGCTTGCAAGGCAGGCCACCGAACCGCTGAGCTAAATCCCGGCTCCTTGTAGTGATTCTATTAGTACAGAATATAACAGCAGTAGTACAGATAGCTGTAGTAGTTGGCATTAGCTCTCAGAATTAAACATATTACACAATTTTCCAATCCCCTATTGCCCTTATTCATGGCAACTTCACTGACATTTATCATCAGAAGCCATTATAAGAAAAACAACAAAAAAAAAGGAAACCTTGCTTGCTCTCTGTTGCAGGCCATCAAAATAAAAGTTAAATTTACTTTATTTCTGAAATCTAACAAACAGCCTCACTTCTAAAACAAAGTATTTTTTAAAAAATCTATGCATCTTAGGAAAAAAAGTTTAACATCTGGGGATGTATCAAATTCAGTTATTTTCAATGTCTGAAAGGATAAACAAAGTACTCACCAACTTTCTGTAAACACTTGCAATATGTCAAATTATCTGAAATAATTTTCCCTAATTCTGGGAAATGCCAGCCATACCACTCTCTACAACGCATAATGTAGTTGTTTAATTCTTTATCTAAGTCATCTAGCAAGGCTGTAACAGATAAAAGAAAAAAAAGTGAACTTGTAAGTGGTTTACTGTGGCAAAATATGTAAAACATTAAATTCATCTTTAAACATTTTGCAGGTGTACACTTTTTGAAACTGAAAATCTCATACTTAAAAAAAAAAGATAGCTACCCTTTCCCACCTCCCCAAACCCGAATTACAGGTTCTTACTACGTAGTGGCCTCTAACTCTGTGATCCTCCTGCCTCGGGCTCCCAAGTGCTGGGACTGCACACGTGTGCCACCTCAACCAGCCAAGCCCCTATTAATTCTTTTTTGTTTTGTACTGGGGATCAAACTTGGGTCCTTGCGCTTGTGAGGCACGCCACCGAACCGCTGAGCTAAATCCCCAGCCCTGCCCCTATTAATTCTTATACTACTTTTGCTTTCTATGTCTAGATACCTCACGTAAGTGGAATCACATTACTTGTCCTTTTGTATTTGGCTTATTTCTCAACACTTCAAGGTTTATGTACTTCATAGCATGTATTAAAACTTTATTCCTTTTTGGTCTTCAATTTTTTTTTGAGACAGGGTCTCACAATGTAATTCAAGCTGGCCTTAAACTCACTATGTAGCCTAGGTTGACCTAAAAATTGCAGCAATCTTCCTGCTTTAGCCTCCTGAGTGCTGGGATCACAGGCATGCACCATCACGTCCATGTGAGAGCTCCATTCTGTTTTAAAGAGGTTTATCACTGTAAATGTATGACAACGTTTATTTACTTGTCTGTTAGTGGGTATATACTATAAACAGTGCTGTGAACATGGTGTATATGGGGCTCAATCCATAATTCAATTCACTTAGGTATCATTCTAGAATTGTTGGCTATAGAGATTTTTGTTTTTGTTTTTTGAGTTCATCAGGCTGGCCTCGAATCTGTGGCAATCCTCCTGTCTCAGCCTCCCTTGCTAGGACTACAAGCATGTACCATCATGCCCAGCTTATGATGTTCATAAAAAAATTATTCCACATGCAAAATAAACCATTAAGAGAACTAGCCAGGTGTGGTGGTGTGCACCTGTGATACTAGTGCTTGTAAGGACAAGACAGGAAGATACTGCGATTTCAAGGTCAGCCTGGTAATACAATAATAAGACTTTGTATCAAATAAAAGGTGGAAAAAGTAGCTCAGTGATAGAGCACTTTCCAAGCACATGTGAGGTCCTGGATATAATCCCCAATCCTCAGTACTAAAGAGATGCCAAAAAACATAGGGAAGGGTCAAGTGAAAAACAAAACAAAACAAACATAATGCACAATTATATACATTTTGCCTGCAGTTTTAAATTTGTTTGTGGAAAAGACCTACACGTTAATACTATGATTCATTTCATCTTCAACTAGTCAAATATAGTAATACCTGAGAAGTTGTGGTTCAGAGTTTGTACCCAGTCATTTGTGGATTTACTCCTTAGAATCTAATAACTGAGGAAACCCCTGCAATTTTGCAGAAAACACAAATATCCTCCACAAAATTATTTTTTAGGGGCTGAGAATTTAGCTCAGTGGTTCCACCTCCTACCTCATAAGCGCAAGGTCAGGAGTTTGATCCCCAGTACTCCCCGCCCACAAAAAAAAAACCAAAACCAAAACCAAACAAGCAAAAAAAAAAAAAAAAAAACCACACCCAAAAACCAAATGGGTTTTTGGGCAGGTGGTTTGCAAGCAGCCATTCAACAATATTCTGTTCACTGGCTGTTGCCCTGTAACCTATCCCTGGCAGATGCATTAGCATTTTTGCATAACAGGTTGCTGTACCACATGTAGCTATCTTGAGTATTCTCAGTTTTGTTCTTAAAATCCTAAGATAGGGGCCAGAGGATCTAGTTCAGTGGTGCTATGCCTGCTACACAAGCATAAGGTCCTGAGTTCCATCCCTAGTGTGTGTGCGTCTGTGTTGGGGAGGGGGAAGATGCGCACACATGCAACCCCCTAAGATGCCGCCAAAAGGCCCTGCATCTTCTATGGATTTATTAATATAGTATTCTATTAAGTTACAAAACTGTGGAAGATACAGCATATTTAGAGTTTAAACTATAAAAATTAGAGTTTATAGGCATTTTTCTGACCGTATCTGAAATTCACATTTTTCATAACTTGAGGGTGCTCTAGGAACATAACTTCCATGAATTTCAAGGTTCCAGTGTAATGGAACATCTATCTGCCGCCTTCTTCTACTTTGCCTTTCCAATTTATCTACTTTGGAGTTTAAACTGTGCAGCAGGTTGAGATGGCTGCCTGTGTCATGAATTCTGAGCGCACCAGGTTCCCAGGCAGCAGGATGAAGGGAGAGTACATGAAGCACTATGTGCTGTGCTTACCGCCTGGGCCACGGGCTGCTAGATCACATGCACATGCCCTGGATATGGGACTCCTGGAGCCCTCTCTGGCGGCCAACACCCGCTCCCCACGTACTCCTACCTTGGCCCTGGTAACCTCAGCACCCAAGGGGCACAGACACCCGGGACCAGCAAGACACCATGCTGCCTGCCAGAAGCACTGACAGTGTGAAGATGTAGAAGAAAAACCCAAAACAACACACCAAAAAGGAAGAGATGGACCAGTTTGTTTACTTTATTCACTAAAAGGTCTAGCTTGGTACACCAGCCTTTGCCTACAGAATACAGGGTCTCTGCTTCTCCAAGGACAGTGAACAAGAGGACACCATGCTTTGTGCTTCCACTCAAAAGAAGAGCCACCCATCCCCTCGAGGTATACTCTGCCTTGCCCAGCACTCCTCCACTGGTGGAGCTCCAGTGGCTCCACCTCACCCCAGGTGTATCGGGCAGCTTTTCTTTGCTTGACCAAATATCTGACATGTACCACTTAAAGGAATAAAGGTTTATTTTAGCCTCCCCCAAAATATAAAAATAAAAGGTCTAGCTCAATGGTGGCAAATATATGGCACATGTGCCACAGCTGGCTGTGCATTTTCAATGAAAGCACTAAAAGGTTAGCCATCACTGGTCTAGCTCATCTCCTTTCTCTTCCCACAGAAAGTTTCAATAGTAAGAAAAAAAACCACAAAGAGCAAAGAGAGGAGACTTTGCAATGTGTTATACTTACAAATTGCTTGAACAATCATTGTATCCACTTTATCAGCGCTAAATTTCAATCTGTACCGAGACAGGCTGGGGAGAGTGGGGAAAACCAAATTAGCCAAACAGCATCTACGAAAAGCATTAAAATTCACATCTTGGAAAAAAAAATTTTTTTGAGCAATGTATGGTGGCATACACCTGTAATACCAGTAACTAGGTTAAGGCAGGAGGATTGTGGCCAGCCTGGCCTATATAGCAATATCATTTCTTAATTTCTAACCCAACCCCTCTCCTTAGAGTTACTTTAAGTTTTTCTAAGAAAAATCAGTTATATACAAGTGAACTACACAGGGCTGGGGATTTAGCTCAGTGGTTCCACCTGCCTTGCAAGCGCAAGGTCCCGAGTTCAATTCCCAGTACCAAAACAAAACAAATGTACTATGTAAGCAAGATCAGAAAGTATGTATTTAATAAAAATATACTTGTCCTATTACAACTTACCTGTATTCCTATAACATGCATACATTTATATATAATGACAAACACGGTAACACTACACAAAGCAAAGTCCTATTAGTCATGCAATTTTTCTGCAGACATTAAGGCTTTATATTACCCCGAAGAAACATTGCTTGGGGCTACAGATTAACTCAGTGGCACCACACACGCCTCACAAGTGCAAGGTCATGAGTTTGATTCCCTGTACAAAACAAAATAAAACAAAAAACCCAAACATTGCAGCGCTCCAACATCTGAAAAGAGAGTTATACAGGAATAATACTATATGCAAGCTTTTCTTAATCTTGGCACTGGTCACACTTTGGCCTTAGAATTCTTTGTTGTTGGGGACTGGATGTCCTGAGCGCTGTAGGACATTTTCAGTATTTCTGAATAAGATGTTGGGAGCAGACTTTAACCCACATAGGTGGTAACTAAAAATACCTGTGTACACTGTCTAGTACTACCTTTCAGAGAACCACTGTTATACACAATGCTGGATCAATACTAAGTTTAGTTTTGTTTTTGTTAGCAGGGATCAAACTCTGGTCCTTGTGCTTGCGAGGCAGGCGGCGGAACCACTGAGCTAAATTCTCTGCCCCTAGTTTAGTTCTTGATTCAGTATAGCCATTTGTTCTATCTTAAAAACTCTTATTTCATAGGAAGTAAAGGTCTAAAGGGGAGAAGTGGTAGAAGTAGGGGAAAGGAAAAGAAAAATGGAGAAGCCTTTGAAAATAGGGAGGGGTAGCATGGATGAAGGGAGGGCAGGGAAAATGGGGGAAAAAATGAGAACCAAGATATATCATGTAAAGGTACAAATTCCCAATGATGAATGCCATCATATTATACACCTAAAATGTACCAATTAACTTAATTAAAAAAAAAAAATCCTTATTTCAAAATTCTTCCTTTGTCTACTCTGTTTTTTTTTTTTGAACCACATATCACTTTATTGGCGCCATCAATTTATGAAGATAGGTATTTTTCCCCCAACAAAGTGTCACTAATTTTAATCTGCCATAACATGTGCCCACACATCTTCATGGGAAAATATAGCATTTCAAGCTTTAGTCAGGGTTAATTATTCTTTTTTCACTTTCACAATTTTTATGCTGCTACCAGAAATCTTCTCAGCATTTGCTTTGAATTCGGTCTTCAGGGCATCCCTCACTGCTTTCATTTATATATTTATTTATTTATTTATTTATTTATTTATCCACTCCATTCTTAATTCTGACTCAGCAGCTTCAACCTTTTCATTAATCCACACTCACCTTTTTTCTCCATACTGGCAATCAAACCCACGGTTTCACACGATAGGTTAAGGGCTCTACCACTTAGCTACACCCTCAGCCCTATGTTCATCTTTTGAATGTGAAGTTTATAGGCACAGACTGTTTACTGTAGTATCTTGATACTGAGCTACACTCCTAGCCTTTTGACACAGTCTCATTAAGCTGCTCATGCTGGCCTTCATTTTGAGATTTTCCTACATCAGTCTCCCTAACAGCTAGTTTTGCAGGGGTGTGCCACTTTCAGTTGCGCTAATTAGAACCCCTACCCCTGCCCCGCACCAGGGATTGAACTCAGGACTTTGCATTTGCCCGGCAGGACCGGTACCACTGAGCTAAATCCCCAGTCCCCTAGGATTACTGTTAATAGCAGTCAGGTTACAAAGCTGCAACAGTTTTAAGTATAGCAGTACCCTGGTTCACGAATGCTTATTTGCAAGCAATTTGGTTTGCAAACAGAAGCATTTGGCAAAATTTTGCTTCTGTTCTCGACCAGAATTGTGGAAACAATTAAATTCACGAACCAAGGCACCACTCTATTCTACCCATAATCTTTACTTTCTTTACAGTTTTTAATGCAATTTCACAGAATGTTAAGCTTTTGATGACTGTAGTATAGCAGTAACATGTGCTAAGGGACCTCTGGTTAAACATGGGACAGTTAAAGTGCGTCTCTTTGCCAAATCCTACAAGTTTGTTAAAAATAAAAAAACAGTGATACAAAATGGTAGACCAGAGCAGATAAGAGAATTTTGGGAAACGGCAAGTGGGTGGCAGAGTAGCATATGACTTACCAGAAATAAAAAGTAGGGATCTATCAGTAGCAGGGCTATATGTTCCTATGATAAAATTTTAAGAAATCCAGACAATTGCCATGTCTATAATCCCAGCACTGGGAAGGCTGAGGCAGGAGGACTGCTGTGAGTTCAAGACCAGCCCAAACTACAGGAGACTCTGTCTCAAAAAACTGACAGTTGCCGGGGATGTACCTCAGTGGTTCTGCCACCTGGCTCGCAAGCACAAGGACCTGAGTTGGATCCCTGGTAACCCCCCTCCGCTCCGCAAAACTGACAGTCTGCTGACACTCTAGTTCAGTGCTTCTGCTGCCTGCTTTCCAAGCACAAGGTCCCAAGTTCAATCCCTGGTACAAAAAACAAACAAATAAACACAACAAAAAAAACCCCAATAGTCCAGACAATAGAGCCAGACTGTGTGGGTAGAAATTCTGCTTTTACCGCTTACCAGTATGTCGATCTTGGGGGCATCGGTTCCCTTATGAAGATAACATTAGTATCTTCCTCATAAGGTTGGTATTTTTGTTGTTTTTGCAGAACCAGGAATTGAACCCAGGACTTTGTGCTTACCAGGCAGACACAGTGCCACTAACTACATACTTGGCCTCTCTCATAAGGTTGTGCTGAGGGTTAAATTAACCACTTAACAGTCTGCCCTGGGCATTACTCAGGCATGTTTGTTTACATAATGACAATCAGGTGTCATTTCAACCAGTCCATTCTCGGACTGAATAAATTTGATAAAATTGTCATTTTAATTTGATTATCTTATAAAAACAATGCAATTTTTGGTGATCCCATATTTAAATTGGACTGGTAAATCATTACATTAATATTTTTTAACATTTTTAGAATGGTGCTTACCTAATATAAATAAAATACTTTCCAATAATTCCTACCTGTGGGCCAATCCAAGACACATGGCTGCCATTTCACGTGGCTCTACTCCAGGGATCAATCCATCCATCTGTGATCTGATTCCCCTCATAAGCTCATTAACAATAGGGCTATGGATACAACTGAGATTCAGCTTTTCCTGCAAGAAGTATATTTATTTTAAATAAAGAAAAAAGTTATCCTCAATTTCTTACACATTAAATTGCTACTATTTTATGTACATACAGACCTAAGTTTGACAAAGTGTTATTAAGTTTGTAGTACATTTATGGAAGAACATTCAAGTGAAGTCAAACCTAACGAACTTCTGGAAAACAGCTTGCTGTATAAATCAAAAGCTGTAAACGATGAACACAATCTGACTCACTAGGAGTTTTGTTCCTCTTTGGTGATTTCCTTTATTCCTTTAAAAAGTGAAAGGCTTACTTAAAAGATTTTAAATCAAAACTACTATAGACGGGTAATGAATTAAGCCTAACTTCCAAGCTTAGGCTCTTCCCCTATTTTTAAATATTAGCATCCCTTAAAAATACTTTCCATCCACGATCGCCAAGACTTCCTTGATCTCACTCAAGCCTGCTGGTGCAATCTTTGAGAAATTCCCACGCAGAGCTGAAATGACCCTGTTTTCAGCTGTAAGGCTGGAGCAGCAGTTACCACCCAACAGGAGGCCATCGGGACCCAAATCCTCCCTGCAGGCACCTCTGTTCAAAAAGCGGAAATGATAGCCCTCACATAAGCCTTGCGATGGGGACAAGGAAAGAGGATCAACGTCTACACAGACAGCAGTTTTTCATTCCTGGTCTCTCTGATATAGTTTGCTCAGTGACCATGTGGTATCCAGAGTGTGCTCAAGTGATTGCCAAGCAAGGTAGGAAGAGGGAAGTAGGGGTCAGGTTACATGGGTTAAGCCCAGAAGAGCACTGGGAAGTGGACTTCACCAAATCAAAGATACTGCAGCAGGGTAGAGGATATTTATTAGTCACAATAGACACATTCTTGGGGTGGGTGGAAGCAGGGAGAACAAAAAGATAAACTGCACAACTATTAGCCAAGAAGCTGTCACAGATTATCCCCAGGTATGGGCTCCCAATTAACACAGAATTAAGAGAATGGACCTGCTTTTTGTCAGCAGTAACACAGGCAGTATAGGTAGAGCCTTAGGGACAGAATGGAAGCTCCATTATGTATAAAGGCCTTGAGAGTTCAGGACAGGTAGAGCAGATGAATCAGACTCTTGTGAACTATTTTTTTTGGTACCGGGGATTGAACTCCGGTCCTTGCGCTTGCAAGGCAGGCCACCGAACCGCTGAGCTAAGTCCCCGGCATGAATCAGACTCTTGTGAACTATTTTTTTTGGTACCGGGGATTGAACTCCGGTCCTTGCGCTTGCAAGGCAGGCCACCGAACCGCTGAGCTAAGTCCCCGGCATGAATCAGACTCTTAAAACTCCTCTGTCCAAACTAATTTTGGAAACTGGTGAGAACTGACTCAACCTCCATCCTTTGGCCCTGACTCACACACTTTGTTGGTTGTTTTTTTTGGGGGTACTGGGGATCAAACTCGGCCCTACACTTGCGAGGCAGGCAGGGGAACCACTGAGCTAAATCCCTGGCCTTTGTGCACTTTGTACTCTTTACAGGGCCGTGTATGCTGCTTTTCAGATTGTTTAGCAGACCTCCCCCTTGCTTCCTTGAAACAAGGACCCTGTTTTGGCAGAAATAACTAATGAATCCCTGTTAAAGTATTTACAGGCGCTTCAAAAGGTCCAGGAAAAAGTTCACTGCAATATGCATGAGGTCTTACTACTCACCTAGAGGCCAGCCCATTCATTCCAGGCTGGAGACTCGGTGCTAATAAAGAGCTTTACAAAGGATTAAAGCCACAGTGGAAGGGGCCACATCTCAATGTCCTTACAACACCCTGCCGTCAAGGTGACCAGGGTCCCCATCTGGATCCATCACACACAAGGGAAGACCTACCCAAAACTGTGGACTCTCCAGCCAGGGCCTAAGCCACTACAGAGACTAATATGATTCTCCTGTGCTTGATTTGCCCTTGTTACTATTGGGATACTTATTTAAGGCTCAAGCCATGGGTTTAGGTTCCTTCTGTCTTCTACTGAGGTTAGTTCTTTTTTAAAAAATGTTTCATTTGTGCCCATGGCTCACACCACTGATTTCCTCTATGGCATGTCCTCTTACTCTTGTCCTGCTTAGACTCATGATAGCCCCAGGTATAATCAATCAATTGCTTAGCTAAGTTTGTGCAAGATTGTATTGCCTCTGTAAAGTTAACAGTGTTAAGGTCTTCTTATAACCTCCCTGAAACTGACAAAGAGTTGATGGTTTGACTTGATTTCCAAAGCAGGGAATGAAGTGAGTTAACCAGATACCCCCCAATATCCGGTGCCTGAATTTTACCCCTTTTCCTCTCCAGACTGCTTGTTCAAAGCGATATAAAACAGCACAAGCTTACCTTGTGATTAAGAACAAAGGACAGAACATATTTTGTGTTGTGGTTAAGAACAAAAGACAGGGCATGTTATACTATGGCCCTAACCATAAAGATAGAAATTTCCTGCCAGATCCCCAAAATTGGATTTTAATCTAGCATGCAATCTGCTTCCGTACCCCTATGCTTGCTCAAAGATGAGTTTTGGGCCAGGGATTTAGCTCAGTGGTTCCACCGCCTGCCTTGCAAATGCAAGGACCTGAGTTCGAGCCCTGGTACAAAAAAATAAAAAAGGTACTACTAAGAACCGGTCTTCCCTGCTTGACTGGTACCAACGGGAATTAGGAAGGGGAGCTCACCTTTTGGTCACTGGCTATATAAAAGACTCCTTTAATTTGGACATTTTCATGGCGTGATTTTTTTTTCACTGAGACAGCTATAATGTAAGCAATTTATACTTCAGAAGGTGATGGAAATATGTAAGCATTCATCCACCCTTCTCTGTTAATAAAAAATGTGTTAGGTACTTTTGTCACATAGATAGGCAAAATGATAGTTTAGTGTTTCTTTGGTGTAATAACAATGAAGATCATTTTCCTTGTTCTTTGAAAGAAAAACTTTCCAATACATACCTATCATTAATGTCTAAGTGTAAAGATGCAAGTGTTTAAAAACAGTTAAATCTTTTTTATGTACCCTACAGATAAGGTAATAATTTTTTTTGCACTTCTCCACTATGTAGTATATCTGATTCTGCCTACAGATCTGCACAGTTCTAGTTCATCTCATGCAATAGGTATGCAAGTGTTATGTACTGTACCATGTCCAAGAAAAAAAAATTTAGTATGTTATACATAATATTTAGCATAAAAGTTTTATAAAGAAACTAAAAAGAACAAATTCAAGATATCCATAATCCTGCCAATTCAGCACCATGCCTTTTCTGTAGGCCTTTTTGGTATCGTTACATCACATGTGTAACCATTCCAGCAATACTGTTTATTGAACTACATTTTTACAGGCATCCATTCTCTGAAGCATAATGTCCATATGCAGAATTCAGAATTAGAATATTTCAGTCTTGGGATAATGAAAATGTTACTTTCTCTTTAATGTGCTAAATTTAGTTTTTGACAGAAAAACATGAAGGCTTCATGTCAAAGAACATAATAAAGACCTTATTGTCTCATTGTATTAGAAATAAATTATGCTTGCCTCCCAAGCACAAGGTTCCAAGTTTGATCCAGGTATCCCCCCATTAAAAAATGTAAATAAAGTGTTTTCTTTTTGAGGCAGGGTCTCCTGATGTAGTTCAGGCTGGCCTTGAATTCACTAGGTATCCCAGGCTGGGCTCATATGTACTATAGTCCTCCTGCCTGAGCCTCCTGAATGCTGAGATCACAGGCATGTGCCAACACCCTTGGCTATAAGTGAACTTAAATTAACAATTCTGATTTATTGCCAGGGACTTAGCTCAGTGGTTCTACCACCTGCCTTGCAAGCGCAAGGTCCCAAGTTTGATCCTGATACAAAAAAAAAAAATCTGATTTATTAATATCCTTAAGTCACGGTAGCATATTACTGCCATTTCACACAGTTCTTTCCTGAAGACACCCACAACATAATCTTTACTTCGCTAGGTATGTTTATGACTACAACAATTAACCCCTCACTGAAATACTTAAAAATAAGTATTACATTTATCAGAACTTATTCTGCTTTTTGAGTTTGGCAGGTTAGTTTTCCAGTCTTTCCACTCATTGTGTTTCATTTCTAGCAACTACTCTCCCTCCAAAAGACTGCTAATAAATATGCTTACAAAAATGTCAGGACAATTATTTTTGTTGAAAGAAAAAAACTGTGGCTAACCAAAAGTATGCTAGCATGTATCAGTAGCAGAGTTGAAGCTAATTTTTAATCACTCATATTATTCACTTATATTTTCTCAATGAGTGCTATTACTTTGATGCTTGGCTCTGCTTTTCTTTTCTTCTTCTTCTTCTTCTTTTTTTTGGTACCAGGGATCAAACACAGGAGGACCTTGTGATTGCAAGGCAGGCATGGCACCACTAAGCTAAATCCCCAGGACTTGGCTCTATTAATCTTGTGAAAACTGATTATGTAGAATATAGAAAGATGAAGTCTGAACAATTATATTTGTTGCACAGGATTATGGATGTCATTAATTTGTTCCTTTTAGTTTCTCTATTTACAAAGGGCTTTGTAGTTAGTAGCTGTGAGATCTGACTACCAGGCATGAAAGAAAATCTTGACTTTACTATTCATTCATTCTGACAGTGCTGACATTAAATGCTGGGCCACATGTTTGCCAACCATATACTCTACCACTGAGTGGTATATCTACCACATACTCACAGTTCATGACCTTACCTTTATGACTCCTCCTAGTTTAGCATCAGCTACAGCTAGAGGTTCATGGGCTTCTTTTACTATTTTCTTTAGAACCTTCTTCAGCTGCTTATTGATTTTGCCCTCCATCAGAGCTGTGAATGCTTTCCGGGGGGGGGAAAAGTCAGCTTAGATTTTTAATTGTGAAGCTTGTCTTAAAACAAATCAAATGTTATTTCTGAAACTAAATGATCAATGCATTTGTTTTTATTGCACATTTCACAGTCACATTTTATCTTTCCACCCATCATTTCTGATCCAGAGCCAAGACCTACACCAGGTCCAGGGTTCCTTTCTCTGCGTCACACAAGTCTCATAAACTCGGACAAAATTATAAAATGGCACAATCTATTTGTTGAAGAGAATCATACTCCTCTCATATCTATAGACTATACTGATATCCTAGACTGTGAATACTCTAAGAGCATGTCAAAACCGATAAAAAGGCGGACTGGAGATTTAGCTCAGTGGCACCATGCCTACCTCAAGCGAAAGGTCTTGAGTTTGGTCCCCAGTATCCAAAACAAACTGGCACAAAGGAATGCACTCACTTTGAAGAATCTGCCAGTGTAAGTAAATCTGTGTAGAATGAGGCCTACTTTTACTAATTCCCAAACCAGATGTATCAGGCCTCTACTTGTAAACCTTACTTCTAAAGGCAATCTATTCTGAGACTGATTTCATTTTTGGCTAAGTTGTAAATCTGCTGCTTTGTAACTAACTCATCACCCCTTAGACATAACTTCTATCTTTAAGACCAACGTGGACTAACACCTCATAAGACATTTGTCTGAAGTTGAAAGTATGCCTGGCAGGTCGTGTACTACAAAATGTACTAATTACAATAAAAAGTATGAGGTCCAGGGATTTGGCTCAGTGGTGCGGGTGCCTGCCTCAAAAGTGCAAGGTCCTGAGTTTGATCCTTGGTACAAAAAAAAAAAAAAAAAAAAAAAAAGGGATTTCTGAAAGTCAAGAAAAAAAAAAAAACAAAAAAA